TACGTGGGACGGAGGACTGTGCTGACCCCGGAGTAGTACGGCCACATCATACACGATAGTTGCCATGGTAACTTTAATCTTGCTGCACGGTATATCAATTAGCTGGTGGCATCATTTACGGAGTCTAACAAATTAATTCTGACACTTTCTGTGTCATCGTCATTAAATCCTGGGAAATGAGCTGCCATAAAAACGTACTGCTAACACTTGAAGAAATATCTGAATCAATTGATGACTTCCAGACTGGTGGTCTAAACACGACGATTCCATTTGTAAAATGGGGGGGTATACATCATTAAATCAGAGAGACATGTTTGGGATACGTTTGTTTTTACGATATGGGAAAATGTGCAACAGTTGTGAAAACGGGTACTACCAGAAATGCGTGATTTCAGATAAAAATGCGTGTTTTCGTGGCGATGTGGCATTGGTAATTACCAATTATATGTGGTTCCTTCTTGTTAACAATGATGTACCAGTATATTTACTAAAACTAAGGGAACTTGCGAGCATGGCGTCTGAAGGCGACGTAGAACCCATGAATACATTGAAACCTGTCCAGCAGTAGACTATAAACATTGAACAACTTGTGAACAAACTAAAACATGAAAGTAGTAGTAGAAAAAAGAGACTACATCATCCACAACTGGAAATTTAAATGAGTACAAAATATACTATTATTCTGAGCAGTTTAGTTATTTTGTTTTAAATTACTTTAAAATGTGTTCATTTTTCATCTAGAAACTACTCTATTGGTTTGTGTATTATGCTTGAAGAATTTACATGTTGTTCTTAGTAACGTGTACCGGTTTGGATGAAAAAACAAAACGAAAAATAAAATAAACTCTAGTGTTATCGTTTCTAAAGGCCGTGTATTGTCTGTCTGCAACGCGGTGTGTAGGTTCCGTAATCCAGTATGTGACGCGGCGCGTACCCCCTGAATGGGGCTGATGCGGTCGTCCGAACCGGACCGGCTTGCGCTACTACTATAGTATTTACTGTTTTAAGCCAAGATTAGTAGCAACTGTGAGAATATTAGGCGCTAAATCGCACCAATCTGCGACCATCGTTGCCGCCACCACAATTCTCACAGGCAGCCAGCCACCGGGAAACGAGTTGTCGGCGGAGTAGGTAGCCATGGCACCCCGATCTGTTGTCAAGGCAGTTGCAGAAAAGCGCGAAACATTTGCGTGAAATCTGGCAAATCTTGTATAAAACGACTCTAATACGGTTTTAATTACCGACCTTATGAGCAGTCACGCCCAATTGATAGTTTTTTTTATATAGAGTAGTCTAATTATCCATTGCACATTACAGAACTAAACATATCTCATGGGGCCCTAAATTGTTGTGTATCCAATTCTATTCATGTTATCTAACGAACCCAGCTAATGGTCCAACGCCAGTGTCACGTTTGCGTCCATACTCGTTTCCATACTTGTGTGCTCAGATGTGACTATCTATTTTATCTTGTCCTCATGCATACACACGCGCCCTTACTTTGCCATGAAAACAAAACCGGTTTCAAATATTCGAGTCGGGAGAGATTAACTTTCAATGCCGAAACCGTTGTTTCGCTTATTTGTCGGTTCGTTTTCAAGCCGCACTAAAATGAAACTAATTTTGAACAGAAAGTAGTTTAAATGAGAAATTACACACAACAAAAATGGAAATTATTTTTAAATAGTCGCAACATTGTTTTTTCCGGTTTCTCGTTCTCATGCATGGAAATGCCAAATATCGTGACGTAATTTTAAACTATAAATGTCTTTCATGTGTCCATATAAATCAGTCAGAAACGATTTGCGGGGTAATAGATTGCTGCGATAAAATATTAATTAGCGAGTCTCAGCAGGAATGTGTCTGTTCTCAGAGGTGAACTGCTACTATGGTGGCATCGTTATTTGATAAAAAAAAAAAATTTTTTTTTTCGGGAAAAAACATATATTATTTATGTCGTGTCATAGAAAGTGGTTGAAAATGGACGAAAAATTACAAAATCGATCTTTGGTTTAACAATTTAATGGCAACAAATGCTTACATGATAATAAAAGTGTACCTACAGCTGCGAAACTAATGTGACCTACTGAGTTGTCGCAGTAGGATGCGAAGTATTCGAAATCCTTCGTGAATGATACCAACATCTGTGTCAGGAATTTTACGCTGATGAGCGCGAGGACAGTGTTGTCCATTTCACTCACTGCATTCAAAATGTGTCTTTGTCAACTGTCGTTTTCTGACAGGGGTTTGTGTGTGGTATGTTTTTATACTTTTGGGACCGGAAAAAAATGGGATCCCGCGTAATTTATTGAATATTGCTAAATACTGCGCTCGTATTTGCAACCGAAGAATTGTATTTTTAATTTAGAATTGTCAATCTCCGGTCAAACTAGCATTAATGCCCAGGATACATTTTATTCGATCGCGTGAAATCTCAAACAAAGCACTGCATTACATTTCAGAAATTCTTAAACTGTGAAAATAATCAACCGAAGAAAAGAAACGAAAGAAAAAAATATTTCATTTATTATATTTGTAAACGCCGCCACGCTAGCTTTGGTTCCTATTTTTTAATGGAAACCCAAACGACATTATTATAAGCCGCCCGCACTATTTCGAAACTGTCCCGCAACCTGTGCCACTTTGGGCGTGCTAAACCACTGTATTCACACGATTTTACTTTAAGAATGAGGATTAGATGATTTCAACCCGACGACCTCCGGATTAGTACCAACTGCGGTGTTTCGTACACCCCTATCACCCGCACCATCGACACAAAATTATATGATATCACTGAAAGCAATGGCGTAGTGCAGTAAACAATAACCATTCAAAATATTAAAAAAAATACAATAGTGTGTTATTTCGACACACCCTGAACAAGATTACACAAATGCGATGGATAAAAAACTATGTATACTAAATTCATCTTTCTCGTTCAATATTTGTTTTATAGTTTCAATGTGTGTATTCCTGTATAACCAATGCGTGCCACCATTCCATTATTTCACAACCTGTGAATTGGTCGGCCATTTTGCTGTACTCACTGTACGTCTATGACTGGCAGATACGTCCAGATCGGAGGTTATATATAGCACGCCTGTAGCAAGGGCAGGAGCAATATAACCATATTAACGTGCGTATCGGTTACAAGTTGCTTACACTACCTCCGTTATCTTATCGCCTTGATCTAAACGAGACGTTTATAGTAATTTTAACACTTCTACACAGTCCCCTGGGGGTCAGATATCAACAGTACATCTCTCAAGCTCGGATCGGTTAACCTGACAGGCTCTGGATCCTATGCGTGTTTTGCATGATGTACGGCTCGTAACTACTCGTCCGTTTCCGACTGGTCATACGTCGGACTGGACGCAAAACGTGGAATATTATCCCTTGCCAGTGGACTGCGATCTACAGTAAATAAAATATTTCGTATGGACTAATGGTTGGTGTTCTACATGTCAAAAAACAACAAGACATTTTAAGTTTCAAAAATAGAAAAATTATCACGTCAGTGTTGCTCCAATTGTGACTGAATCCTTTGTAAGCTACATAGTTTAGCTCTTTTTCACTAACATTGTTGCAATCGTGAACGATTGACAATGGACGGTTTAACTGCATATTCAAAGTCATTTGGAAGTTGAAACCAACAATGTCCCAAATGCAATGTCAGCCAGATAATGGGAGTAAAAATATATTACCATCCATGATATAAGTATTAATTATTATATGATTTTTTTAACGCGTCGGTACGTGTGGAGTTATGTACCACATCACAGTGTTGAAACCGAGTCAAAATCGTAAATCATAAAGTAATCAATACATGCTTTAGATAAATATCACATTGCGGTGATGGTGTGAAAAGGTGTTTGTAAACAGCGGTTATTTACATTAAATATGTAGGAAATACATCGTTTACTTTGCATACTATGTGTGACGTGCGGAAGCAATGCCTGGTGGGTATCAGGGACTGGTAACGTAGGTGAGAAGAAATCTGCTGGAAAAATAAACAGCCTGCTTGTAATACGGGTGTTTGACTGAAATATACGAGGTCGGGCGAATGCAGCGAACATGGAATGCGTATATGTTTGCATACATACATACATATTGACTACCGTGACGAAGCGATATGATTCCTTGTTCTGCGATTCTCCTTTCCATCCCGCACTTTTACCCCTCCAAAAAAAAAACATGTTTCAGTTGTAATTTTACGTTCTTCATCAAAACGAAATTTATCACCGTATTGATGGCATGGTTCTCTGTTTTTAAAACAAAAAAATGTCAGCAATTTCTGATTTTTTATTCTTTTGTGATCCCGGGATACTTGGTTAACATATGTTATAAAGGGGAATCCAGTTACACACCCCACGTGTTTCCCAGCGGCCCTTGAATCGAGCCGATCGCTTTAATTAGTCTGAAATGTTAAGGTGTCCAATGGCACCGGGAATGAGTAGATTTACATTCAGCGCGAGCAGCGGCGAATTCTCCGCGACGAATTCTCCGAATTTCGCAGGAAAGCAACAGCCGAATAGAATTACTCTCTGACTAGTAATCAAAATTAATACTCAGTATGGCGAAATTAACATAGTATTCTATTCCCCCCCCC